TTCTTGAACTTTTCTTTTTTGAACGTAAGCTACTTCTAGTGTATGAGCTAAAACCTGTGTTTTAATGGAGGGAGGCAAGAGGCTGCACAGACAATTACAACTTGTTTTCCACCCAGAGACTGCTGGAAATCAATTGTCTACCAGAGGCTGACCATTAGATAAAGTCAAGACAAACTGCATCGGAAGCCCTGGGGATCCTTGAAAGCAGGTTTTCAGTAGTCACCTCTAGGTGTTGCCCAACTTGACAGAGGTTTCACCCTTTAAATCCTTTTATGCTGAGACCTGGTTTGCTCAGGAATGGAATGACAATGAATTATTTCTGGCTTTCCCCAAAGCATTGACTCCAGATTGAGAACTGCCCAAGTGCTCTGGGAGCCTGGCTCCTATTGCAGAGTGGCTTAGTGGACTCCCGGGAGTTTTACACGCTGTGTTGGAAGCTGGCAGAATGCCCTTGGGTGGTTTTACAGGAATTTCCCTTGGAGGATCTGTTGCAAGAGTAGACACAAGAATGGTCTGGCATATGAAGAACTGTAAATGAAACAGGGATGTATTTTTCTTTTTGCTCCCTTTCAAACATGCTTTGGTAAATCAGTCAATGAAGACAGGAGAGGGTTGAGAATAATAAAGCTTTCCTGGGGTTTGAGGAGAAAGCTGCTGTGCTATGACCAGCACTCTCACGGAGGAGAACCCAGGTCCGCCTGCCCCTAGGGTGCTTCCTGCTCGTGCAGTGTGTGACACCACAGCCACCCAAGAGTGACACCAGGGGGTGGCTCCAGGTTTGCAGCCGTGCCCAGGAGCCTGCTGGATGAGCAGGGGGTCAGCTGCTGGCTTTGAGAAGGGCAGGAGTTCTGCAGTGGCCAGTGAGCTGCTAGTGGAGATGAAATTGCTTGTGGGCACCTGAGCTAGAACACATGAATGGACTGTAATGTGAGTTGTGGCTGTGCTGAGAAGCTTTGGTTCTGTGACATCACCACTTGGCATTGTACACGGGTCCACACAAAATCATGGTCCTGATGGGCAAGACCTCACACAGTGGAGGGCCACACGGTCCATCATGGCGTGATGGGTGTCACAAGCAGGCAGGAGGGCCACTGCTCCCAGCCCAGCCCCAGGGTTCAGATTCCAATGGCCATGGGGAGTGGGAAGATTGAGATGTTTTAGAAAACCCTCACCCTTGACGAGCAAGTTGAAAGAGTAGATTGATTCTTTTCTGCGTCGGATTGGACCATGGGCTGAAAGTGATCTTGTCTTGTGACCTGCTGATTGAAGGAGCAAAATCATACAGTGCTGTCATCGGGAACTTTGATAAATATTTTATTTCCTTGTGAAATGTCGTTTATGAGAGACGCAGCTTTCTCTGGGGTACAAGAATAAGACAGATTGTGGAAACTACTGTCACTGCTCTTTACGACCCGGCTGAACTGTGCGACTTCAGACAGGGGTTTCATGATGGAGGAATACAAGCTTATATCATCTGTGGCACAAAAGATGACAGGGAATGCAGCTCAGGTCTCATTTAATGCTTGAGAAAACAGGCTCTGTCCTGGCTGGGAGCAGCCAGAGGCATCAGGCAGCCTTGAGAGACCTTGCTAACCCCCTGCAACATTCACCCTGCTCTTGCCCTTTACCTGCTGTTAAAAACCCATCAGATGCTGTGCTGGGCCTGAGGCAAACCTCTCAAACAGCTTGGATGAGAGGCAGGGTCAGCTGCAACTTGCCAGAAACCACTGCTATGGACGAGCTTTGGTAACCACATGTGTCCTGATGAGAAAGTCCCAAGCAGAACACTGTGATGTCCATGCATATCCATGAACAAGGAGGCATCGTGGTGCCTGAGAGCAATGTGGGTGTTCTCCAGGTCCCCCAAGCCCCTCTGCTATTTGTGTCTGCCAGAGGCAGCTGGTTGTACTGGCAATACAGATCAGTGACAATGCTACCAAAGTACATGACAGAACACCCACCCTTGTGGTGCAGTTTGCTGAAGACAAGCCCTTGGAAGTCCCTGGGAATAAGATGTTTTTTTTTTCTCTGTGATAATGTGCTTAAGTTAGATCCACCACAGAGGATATTAAATGACAGATTAGCTGAGCTTAATAGTGTGAATTATGAAAAGAACCTGCTCTGTGCAAAGTATAGGGTCACATTCAATGACTCACTTGGCTTTTTCTTGACCATTAGTTGAACACTTCATGTCAAAAATGTGATCCACATAGAATTTCTGCAGTTTGATGGAGAATGACTTTAGCTCTCAGTGTCCAGCAGCTACAGGAGGAAACATTTCCCTCTATGTCAGCAAAAAAAACAACCCAAACATAGTCCCAGGGCAATGGTGTGGGAGTTCCTATGTTGAGCTACGCCTCAACACAGCTACTGTATAACACAGTGAGAACAAATTCCCATTTCACCTATTATCCTGGAAGAGTGCAAGTGCAGCACATGCCTTCTCTTACAACTTTCCAGCTTCTGTTGATCACTCACAGACGCTTCCTGAGCTGGGGGCTATGCCTGTCTCATTTTCAGTGAATTATTTAAGTCCTCCTTGAACCTATTTCTGCCTTTGAGCACCATCGAGTCTTCCGGCAAAAATTCGACATCTTAATTGTACACTCCTTGCAAAAATACTTCCTTTGAATTCTTTAAAATCTGCTCCTGTTAGTTTCACTGGAAAACTCCTAGGTCTGCTGCTGTGAAAAAGAGTGTGTTTGTTCTCTGTTGACCTTCCCTATGTCCCCATGTTGAGGACATAATAAAATTCTGATTTGATAAGAGTCTCCTACATCCCTTTCAACCACCTCTTTGCCAGATTGAAGGGTCCTACTGTGTTAGTCTATTTTTGCATAGAAGTTCTCTGGCTTTGTTCAGCTTCACTTCCTTCCTCTCGCCATTTCTTGCTCTGCTATTTCCTTTCTAGGATGCACTGAGCAGAAATGTATTCATCATGTAGGTGCACAGTGATTCAGATAACAGCACAGTTTCAATTCTGTCTTCTATTTCTTTCCCTCACATTATATTCACCCATAGTTACATTGAGCTTTGAGTTGATGTTTTCAGGGAACCATCCATATTCCTTCCAGTAACTCCTTTGTGAATGGTAATGACTAGTTGATAGTTTACCATTTTGTAGGGAGACTACAGGTTATTTTTTCCCATGTGCATTATTTTGCACTGTTTCGCACTGAAATTCAGCTGTTATTTTATTTCTCAGACACGGAGTTCTGTGAGATTTTTTTGTAACTGATACAACCAGTTCTGGTTTTGATTACCCCGATTAATTTCCTATCGCTGATATATTCTGTTGTCCTCATACTCTCCCAGTCCCCAGATCGTTTCTTAGTATATGAGTAGATCTATCAGACAGGTCTCTCTGGGTTTGCCACTGGATGCTTCTTCCATTATGAAAACAGATTATTTATCTCTGTTTCTTGCCTTCTTTTCCCAGCCATCTTTTCCCACCTCCTTCGTAATGAAAAACAATGCAAACAATTCACTTTAACCTTTCTGCTATGTCTTTCTCCCGAGAATACATTTTATGCAGTGATCATCTATCAGCCACACCACTACTCTGGCAAACCTCCTTCCCCTAATGTTCCTGAAGGGATTTTATTGTTACTTTTTATATCTCTAGCAAGTTGTTGCTCAAAACCCTTTCTGGCCTGCCATATCATTCCTCTCCATGCAATTTGTCACGTTCCGGATTCTATTTCCTCTCTTGAACATGACTTGGGCTTTTAGAGGAATGCCTTTTAACAATTCCACTCTGCTGTGTAGCTGCACAAACATTCATCCTTTCAGCTCTCCTCTGTTTGGCAGTGTATGTTTATTCCAGGCTTGCAATAAGGAGTTTTGAAATGGTTCTCTTCCAGCTGCTCTTTTTAATTTCTTCTCAAGCAGCTTCTTCATTTTTTATGTACTTTGTCATTTTTTAAGGTCATCTTTGAGTAGTCCTTGGTACCTTGGAACCAAACTAAAAGCTGCTTTTCTGCTTCTCAATGATTGCAGTCATCTATTTACGATGCCCAAAAATTATTTCAAATGTTGGGCCTCAATTAGAAGTGGTCTTCCCAATGTGTCCTGGCTTTCCAGAGCCCCACCAGCCAGCTTCTTTCCAACAGAATCTGAGGGAAGCTGTATTGATATCCTCACCCAAGTGGGTGTCCCCATTCTTCAAATTCTGCCACTTGCAAAAATACTTAATGCAACAGCTCTACACTGTGCTGTACACTCCTGCCTACCTTGGATGGCACTGCTAAATCAGCAGTAAAAGGAGCTGGATATTGTTACTGTCCCAGAAGAAGGACCCATGAGGTAGCACTGCAGCTCAGCCCTTTGCATGCATTGTGTGTAATGTTTTGACCCAAGGCAAACCCTACTATTTCCTTTGTTTCTGAGCCACACCTCTACCAGTAAACAATTTGAACCTCCCATACTGAATGAAGTCATATCAACATCCCTACAGCCAGTTAGAAAAAAACCTTTCATTTGGAAAACGCCGCTATGCTGCTGTGGCAATGATCACGTTAGTGGTAGCAGAACTGTTTGAGTGGGACTAAATTAAAGCACAACTGAAATGTTTGAAAGAAAATAAAGACGGCCGTCAGGGTCAGATGTAAATATGTTCTGTTGACAAATTGCAGGAAACAAAAAAAAAAAGGTAGAAGTTGTAGTTGCAGAGATGACTGAAGGTCCCTTCCAACCCAAACCAACCTATGGTTGTGTGACTTCAGAATACGAAAAAACAGAGCACATTTAGTTTACTAAAAAGCTAGAATGCTTACAAGAACATTTGATTACAATACATATCCTATGCTTTTTAGAGAATTTTTGTGACATAATGTATGGGAACTGTTGAGCCATGGCCTGATTGAGCACCTGGGGAAAGGACTGGTCAGCCCTGGCAGCACAGGTGAAGGCAATTCATCCCAGTGATAGAAAGGCCTGGCTGTGCCTCCACAGACCTTATTTAAGGGCTGACTGCCAGTAGGGAAGGATCTTTGGTTGGAGATCTCTTCTTGGCGAAGCTTTTTCCCTATGAACCTGGAATCTTCTGATACGGGTGAGCAATCTTCTTCCCTTCCTTTATAGCACCTTTGTATCGTGCTGGTCCTTCCATCCTTCCATCATCACACCTTTGTTGTAATGCCTTTCCTGTTGTGTTGATCTGTCCAATTGCTGTACATACATAAAATGGGGAAACTAAGCTTGTTTTAATAAGTAAAATCTTGAAGTACTGTTGAAAAACAGCATAAACATTCAGAAACTTCTTTTACAGAACTTAGAGTTGCTAGTAAAGTCTTGATTCAGAAAAGCTTATGACCTCAAATGAAGTAGCTTGAATCCATGGCACAAAAACATATGTTGAGATTAATCAAATGTATTGATCTTTTTATAAATCCTTACATTTACTTTCTTGAGCTGGGATAAAGCTTTGTGTGTGGATCTGGAAGACTAGAACAATCCTCTCAGCTTTATGGTTGACTTCCAGAAGAGCATCAGTGGTGCCATATTGCAGCATTCACCAGTTTACCATTACTATGGCACAGGACAACCTCCAGAGAAGCATTAGTTATGATATCAGAAAAAGGTTTTTCCTATTCAGCATGCAAACCACAGTTCCACTGTGCTTCTGAATGCTGGCTTGAAGCTTTATCATTACCAGAGCTCTGAGGACTCACCTGAGCTCACCTGGATCCCATCCATAGCTCCATCAAGGCCATGGAGCTCATTGAAGCTGTGATTCTTTTCTTTCCCATTGTGGAGCAGACCAACCTCTACCACTCGATGACAGACCCACTCCTCACCAGACATTTCATCGCTGAATGCCTCCTGCTAAGCTGAGTCCTATATAAATAGTAGCAGTGTGGGTTAGGATTGAGTGTGGTTTTGTGGCTGTAACTGGAAGCTATGGATATCAGGAGTAATATGTAAAAATGTGATTGGAGCAGCATCATTAGCGAGATGGATGGGTGTATTTGTGTGCTAGAATAACTACTGAGTGCTATCCAATTAAGCCTGGACATCTCCTATATGCCAAGGTGTTGATTTGTGCAATTGGTTGACAGTGACCGTAGCTCTGAGTTCAAAATAACTATTTGCTGTTCTATATTTATATCTCTGGCCTCCCAGCCATCCTAATAAATACCTAATGAAGATCTGCTTACATCTAGCCCTGCCAGATCTTGACCTAAACCCTGTTTCTTTTTGGCTCCCATGCTGCTGCCTGCAGTCCTGGTTGGATTGTTGAGGAGCCATCTGCTCTGGGCATTGCCATGAGCTGCTGCTTCCACCTTCACAGCAGAAGAATCTCAGTTGAATTAGTCTCAGCACACAGCAATTACATTACAGAAGTTGGGAGAAAGGGAGCAGCGGTAATTTGTAAGTCTTAATTCTGCCAACAAAATCCTATTCATTTTTGTTGGGTTTCTTTTCCTTCCCTATTTGCTCCCCACACCTTGGCAAGGCTCTTTCCTGTTTTTCTTCCAGTACGTGGCAAATGCACAATAAGAACAGGAGGTCATTTACTCCAAATCCTCAGCTTACAATTCTTCTGACATCGCCAGTTGCTTTTCCTAAAGGCTGTGAATAATGCACAAATTCATTGTTGGCTAACAGTTATAATTGGACTTCTCTAAATTTTCAAGAGCTTTGAAGTTGCCAACATACTTCCCTGTGGCTCTGTATTTGCACTTCATCAGCTGGGATGCACCCAACCGACCCTACAACTGCTGCCCTGCAGCTTAGCGTACAAAGGCAGGAAGGAACAGTAGGGATGCAAGGTCCCATGCCAGAAAACTTCACCACCTCTGGATAGTAGAGAATATTTTCAAGAAGCTTTGCCAGGCTGCTCTCCTTGGGCAACATTTTGCACCCAGTGTATTTCAAGATGCATTGCTGTGGAAACTACTGCCAGATGGTGATGTCAGGCTGATGTCAGGCAGACCATAGCAAGAGCAGCCTCTCCTCTCCCTGCAGACTTCTGCTGCAGTGTAATTGTCCTGTGGCTGTTGCTGTTCCCGTGCAGACAGTGATTTCTTCCAGCCCTGAAACTCCAAAGGGAATTTTCCTTGTGCAGTACTCTCCCAGGAAAGCTTTCGGGAGCAGTTCAGGTGAAGAGGAAGAAAGAAGGGTGCGTTTCTGATCCACGTGGTGAGATAAGCATGGGAAAAACATGACGTACTGCCCATGAAAGTTAGAGTGAGGGGACTTTCAGCTGGATGGAGAGGGAAGAGTTATAGGGAGGAGGGGAAAGTGTCTCAGCTACATTAAGACAAAGCTGATAGTTCTTTGCCAAAATGGTGTCTTTTGGTCTGAAAACATCATTTTTGGGTTCTCTGATGCTGTTCTCGAATTTGTTGAATTCAGACTGAGGGAAACGGTTCACTTGAATCGTTATTATTTTTGCACTAGGTCATTGAAGTCTGCATGGGAATTTCTCTAGGGCCTGAATTGAGGAGCCCAGTAACCCACAGCTCTGGGCTGGGAGTGAAGAAGCCAGCAAGTTCTGCTGGAGATGGCTGAATCAGCTGCAAACCCAGCTGCAGAAGGAGCCTCACTTGTGACCCCACCTCTCCTGGGGCACGTTAGATGCCTTGTGGTTCCTGACCACATAAAGGCTATGACATGCAGTCCCTAGGGTGAGGGATACGTGCCAGTTCTGATGATCCAGTGGTGAGTCAGAAGGTGGGCTGTGCTGCCTGGAGCCATCTCTGCACCATCTGAAAGGAGCTGTTGCACCAAGGATTTCTGCTTCCTATTGGAGTTGCCTCCAAGCTTGCGTCACTTCTTTGGATGGGTTTCCATTCAGTTCTGCTGCTACTTTGCATGTTGTAAACATCTGAATATTGATTAGACATGAAGAAATTCATTTCTTGTCTGTTTATTTTTTTTGTTCAGACAGGGTCTGTGAGGTTTACTCTCTGTCCTATTGAGTGTTTAAGCATTTCTTATCATTTGAGCTAGGAAAAGATGAGCCCCTGCTTTCTGATGGCCTGATGCCTAGGCCATGCACTTTGTTGTTCTGATCCAAACCAATGGACCTCTTAGGTATGGGTCACCTCTTAGGTATGGGTCACCTCCTCCCATGGGGAATATCTGAAATTGCAGGGCTCAGAGCTGAACAGCACAACTACCTCACGGGGGGGGAAAAAGAATCATAGAATGGTTTGGGTTGGAAGGGACCCTTAAGATCATGCAGTTCCAATCCTCGCTATAGGCAGGGACATCTCCCACCAGACCAGGTTGCTCACAGCCCTGTCCAGCCTGGCCTTGAGTGCTTCCAGGGAGGGGGCATCCACAACCTCAACCTCCTCCCTTGGCCGGCAATGGTGTCTGGTATTCTTGCCAAACATTCTTGGCCTTTATCAAGTGCCAGAAGATGAAGTGACTTTGCATTAGTCGCGATCTTTTGTCAGGTTTGCTTTTTCTGTGTTGACTTGAAGCCCCATGAATTTGGGACTGCAGCAAGCTGAACTTTAACTTCAGGTCCTGCCACTTAATGAGAAGGTCATTTACATCACCCTGTACTGTCACTGATGTTATGATGGGCTGGAGATGTCAAGGTCTGGGGGGCTTTTTCTCATTGTGTGATGAGGCCTATGAGCTGCAGGTTGTGCATTTCAACAACAGGCATGTACATTTATCCCAGCCACGTCTTTGCCTTTACCAAGGCTATTGCTCTGCCTGAATCCTGTTTGGAAATGCTGCTAGGGAGTATTTAAAGCATTTTCTTTTTCCTGGGCAGAGAGGTCTATCCATGGCAGTGTACTTCCAACTTCACCAGAAACAGAGCACTCAAGTTCTGATTGACCTTCTCACTGCTCCAGGTGGCAAGTGCATTTCTTCTGCTTTCCAAGTTAAAGGGTGACATATGCATTAGGGAAAAAGCCCTTGCATCCAAGTCTTTGTACATCCTGGTGGTCTTCTTGAATGCTACTCGACTCCTGATGAATAAAAATGCTTTATCTACCTGAGGGGCAGTGAAAGCATCTTCCTTGCATAGTCACTCTTCCAGTCTACTCTCATACCCGTGAACCTCTTCTCTGCCTCCTCTCGTGGAATGTGCCTTTACTGGAGAGAAAAATTAGATGTGAGGAAAGTCTGGAGATCCAGATGTCCAAGCAGCAGCCCTGCCATCCAAGCTCTGTCCTTCATGGCTTGTAATGAGGAGCCTTGGAGTACAGCAGAGCCCTGACCCACAGCCAGCCTTTGTACCTGCTCTCACCTCCTTTGCCAAGAGGTGAAGTCTGGAGCAGCTGCTGATGATTTTCATTTTCAGCCTTAGCTTCTGAGCTATAAATAAGCCTGGAAAATAACCACATTTTCTCTGAATTATGTAACAGATGTTAAATTCCCCAAGATGAAGAGGTGTCAGCCTGATGGAAGGAGTGATACGAGGACCTTCTTTTTCCTTTGAGCTGGGCTTTCTTTCTTATTTGAATCTGTGAATTTGGCTATCTACTGCTAGAGGTAATAAATAAATAAAAGTGAGGATCACCCCACGGTTGTGTCTCAGCCCTGCTGACCCATCTCTTCCCCATGCATGCATGTTTAAGCTTTCCTTGCCTTTCTCCGCCATCAGATTTTGAAGATGGTGCCATCTAAAATGAAGTCCCATTGAAAGAATGTGTTGTGATGAAGAGCTGTTGAGTGAGTCACCACAATCGTGTTGGCAAGGTGGGCTGTGGAGCAGGCCAGATCCTTACGCTTGGCACGAGACAGCAAAAAGCAAAAGAGGAGAGAGAGAAGCTGGAGCCAGGAGCACTGCAGTGCTTGGCCAGCCAGCAGGGCTGGGCTGCAAGTGCTTTCCTTGGTTAAAGCTTTAACCGCTTCAGTAACACAACTCTGCCCAAGTGGAGACATTTCCATGCTGTGCCCTCATCTGGGCACTGGGAGATGGGCTTAAGGCAAACATAGAGGATGTGTTCTGTGCAAGGAAGGGGTCTGAAAGGTTTTTGCCTTGCCTCTTTCTATTTTCCCCCTATTTCCTCCTCTATGTGATGGTTAAAAAAACTTACAATTTTATGAAAGCTTTCGCCTGAGAGGGGCCCTTCGCATCTCTAGTCCAGCACCTGCCCAAAGTTGCAGAAGGCTTTCTCTTGAAGAATGAAGATTCCACTGCCTGTCCAGCTCACATCCCAGGGCAGCTGAGAAAACTATTTTCTTAAGGTTTTTGGTTGGAAAATCCTTTGCTACCATTTGTTCCTCTTGCTCCTAGTTATTTCCCATTGACATGCTCCAGTTGTATCCTACTGATTTGCCGTGGGGCTGATTTGCCATCCAGTCTGGTGGCATTTCCTTAATTCTGGAGGACCAATGTGGCCCTGATGATCAAGCCTCATAGTTGGCCATTGCCAGTGCAGCCCAGATGTACTGGAAATAGCTGTGAAATGCTCAGGAAAACTTCCGCATCCTGAGAGTTGTGCCCACCTCTGTTTGTATGCATGGTCCATCTCATCAATACAGTTTCCTTTTATTTTCTTGTGGATTTTTAGATATTGGATTAGAATTGAGAATTAAAAGCAGTAAAGCTACTTAAAACAGTTTGTTTTGGGGTGTTTTTTTTTTTTTTTTTTTTGTTTTGTTTTTGATATTTTTTTCTGTTCCTTGCCACATTTTATAACTGGTGTTAATTACTCATTTCTAACCTAAAATGAGCAAGAAGGGGTGAAATCACAGGATTGGTTTTTTTTTTTCTTTTTCTTCTTTTTTTATTATTATTTTGTTATATCCTTTATGGGTGATGGCTCCTTCCCTAGGATTCCTGCTTTGTGCCTCCTGGTGCCTTCCATTAAGACAGAGCGAAGCTGTCACCAGCTCTGTGTAACAGTGCTGAGTGGTCTCGTGAGAGAGCAATTTATAAACGTGGATTGAAGACATTGGCCCCAAGGGGACCACATTTATGTAGGTGTAGATACACAGTGAGGCCACTAAATCAGTACAGCACTAACAGTGGTGGCTGTGCTCCTACCTGTGACCCGAAGGCTCCTCTCTGTTAGAAGTGATGCTGCTCAGGCATTTATTTCTGAGCTCTGGCATAGCGTTCCCTGTCATCCACCCACTGTAATGATAACTACAAGTTCACTTTAAGAAAGGAAAAAGGAAGATGCAGTGAGCAGGAGACCCAGTTCTGAATGGTTTCGCTATTTCCCCAGTGATCTCTGTAGCTTATCCTTTGGAGCAGCTGATAGCTTTGCATTCTATTATTCACTGCTCGTTACTGATTAATGGCCTTTAGTGTCATTGCTTATTTCATTTTCCGACCAATCTTCAAGATCAGCCATTATCTAGGAAAAAAACCCTCTTTCTTTCCGGTGTTAAGTGGTTGACCAGCGGGGTAAGGGTAGGGTTTGTGTTCAAGAATAAGAACAAGATGCTTTGAGAACTGTCTGGAAACATGCAAACAGAAGAGCTCAGCTATCCTGGAGGTGCTGCAAAGCATAGAGATAAATGAGGTAGTCCAAAAAATATAAGGACTGAAACCAGAGGCCAAGCAGAACCTCCGAGTTAGTAATAACAGTGCTGTAGTGGTACAATAATAACCCACGGCAGAGGTCTGATCTCAGGCCATGCCTCAAGTGTGCAAGACAAAATGGTAAGTCAATTCTTGCTTCAAGGCACTTAAAAGCTGTGTTACAAGGAAAGTGGGGCCAGCAGCAGATGGGCAGGGGCTGGCATGGAGAGGGGATGCTCAGTGCAGGGCACAGCTATCAGGAATGTGATCTGGGGAAGGATAAGGAGGGACACATGGTACAGTTTGGGGCACCCCCCTGAGCACTAGGGCTGGCACAGGGAAAGGAATAAAGCACTTTATTCAGAGGTGTCCCCAGCCTGGTGCAGGGTTGTTGGAGGTGTGGGGTTGATGCCCAATGGGGAGCTGGTGCTCAGCCACGCTGTGGGCGTGAGGGGTTCTGCTGGTGCACCCTTGGGTGCAGGAGGGAAGGAGCCAAGTTTTACCCACAGAAGTAGGGAACATGCTTTGCAAAAGTCTTCCCCGTGGCCTTGCTGCAGAACACAATGTGTGCAGTGGGCAGGAGAATCTGAGGGGCATGGTACAGGTTTTGGCGCAGCTGGAGCCAGCCCTGGCTATTGCATCTGCTCCATCCTAACCACGTGTTTCAAAACGTCTGAGCAAATCGCTGCTGCCCCCTGGAAGGAGCAGGGCTGTGTCCCAGAGCCTGCTATTCCCATGGCGTTGAACATTCTCTGCGAAACCAGCTTTTATTTAGAACTGAACATCTGTTCCAGATGTGGTTATTCCCTGCCTGCCCTGCTGCGCTCCTGCCATTGTTGTCCCACTCCACAGAGAAAGGCTGGCATGAATTATTGAAAGATGAAGCTTAAATAAATGATAAACCGGTACGGTGCGTGCAGTAAGTTTCTGTCAACTCCTTACAGGGTCGCGCTGCCGGCTGAGCTGAGCCCATGATGAGCTCGTGTGCTCCACAGGACCTGCGGCCACGTCTGCCCGATGGGGCTGATCGAAGAGCGTGGAGAGGGGCAGCCCCAGCATGACAGCGACCAGGGGGACGAGGAGGAGCCGCGGCAGAGGAGCCAGCAGCTGGAGCTTTCCTCCTGGCAAGTGGTTTTCTTGTCTTGGATCCTTGAGGCGGTGGCTGGGAGGATGGGGTGGGAGGGATGCAGCTCTCAGGGTTGAGCGTTGGGCGCGTGTGATCTGACAGCATAATGGGTCTTGAGCTGAAATCTTGGAGTAAAATCTCATCCCGCATCTTGTGGTGGAAGCAGCTGTGTCCGAACCCTTGCACGTGACTCCAGGTTGAAGCCCATGGAAGGTCTGACCCGGCCAAACCTCCACGTCAGTCACAGTTGGGAAGTCCAATGGGTTTTCAGAAGCGCGATCATCTTGGAAATTGGATTATTATTATTATTATTATTTTGTATTATTGTTATTTCCTTCTTCACCATGTTGAAAAATGGCTTGACTCATGGCTGCGGGAGGCTGTGGGGATTCGCAGCAGACCATCTGTTTCGGCTGTTAGCAGTCATTAATTCTTTTTCTTATTTTTTGCTGCTTTTGAGATACTTTGGGAAAAAATGTTCTTGATGGCATTGGAGGACTTCAAAGTCACTTATAATTTTTATTTTTTTCCTCGGAGAAACAATACACGGTAGATGCAGTAGTTAGGAGAGAACTGCATTTTATATTGGGTTTTCTAAATGGGAATTTCTGTCTCTAGTGGACAAACAGGAGGACACGAAGTCCTGTTATCTCCTTTCCACCACCCATTCACCTACTACCTGCCTTCCTCCCATACTGCAATACAGCCACTAATGAAGGCTGGTTTTGGTGGGTGGTTTGTATTTCTTCTTCTTCCTCTTTTTTTTTTTTCTTTTCCTGGTTTAATGCCAAAAGCTTTTAATTGACAAAATAAGAACTTTTTTTTTCCAAACCATTGCACTTCCAGCATTAAGAACTTGCTGATTCAATCAGCCTTATCCTCTCCAGTTATTCTACCCAGAAACTGGAAGATGACTTAACTCCCTGACAGGTGTTCACAGCTGATGGCTCAGATCTGTGGATGGAGAGCTGGGGCACATGGCATGATACATAATAGAACAAACGAACCCTATTGACACTGTCCACCCTGCAGCTTGAATGCATTTATCCTTGTGCCTTGCTCCTGCTGCAAGCAAGCCCAGTCCATGAGCAGGCTCCTCTTGGAGATGCTCTTCCCAACCAATGGGCTCTGGGTTGTCGGAGTTGCAGCAAACTGTCACTGTGCTGTTCTGCAAGGACCTGTGACACGGTGAAAGCTGATCTTGCATGTGTGGTGTGTTGTATGGAAATGTGTGACGGGGAGGTGGTGGCAGCTCCTCCAGAGGATGCTGAGCCCTAACATGAAGCTGGAGCTGAGAGAGAGCTCGGCGTGGGTACGTGGCTGTGTCAGTTCAGGTTGTGTGTCCCCAAAATGATGAGCTGTGCAGTGACATAGGTCTGTAGCCAGGACATAGACCTGCTGTGCTGCCTTATGCTGCTTGGAGACTGTGGAACAGAACTTGGGTGTGACACGGGGCGAGGTGACAGCCGGAGTGCCTGGAACGCTTCCAGCCATCCATTAAGGCTGCAGGTTTCAGCAGTACTACAAATGTGCCCTGGAAAATGCTCCAAAGAGCCACTGCGGTCCCTGGGCTGGGGAGGTGGCACCTGTGGGTACCACGGGGATGGGGGATCATCTGCCCCACTGCCTGCTCCAGGGTGGTGAGACCCATATATATCTCCATAGCACAAAGCAAAGAGCCCGTGGTTGTGTCCCCAGTGCTGAGCAATGTAGGGTTGTGCTGGGCTGGGATGTTCCCCCATTCACCCTACAAAAGGCGCAGCAGGAGGTACTCAGGTTTGATGAAGAAGGAAGGGGAGGATGAGTGTTCCCAGAGCCCACATCAACTATTTGAGCTCTGCATGTGACTGCTTTCACTCGTGACCACCTCCTCCTCCTTGCACCTTCCCAGACTTTGGTGTGCCCCAAAATCACTGCCTGTTCCCGAGTGAGAAATAAAGGAAAGAAAAGGGAAAAAAAAAAACAACTGTCTTCCCATCAGGAAATTTGCCTGTTAGCACCCCAGCTACAAAAATCTCAATGGAGCTTTTCCCCCCCAAACAAACCCTCGCTGATGGGAAGTCTAAAAATAAGCGCCTTCTCCACAAACAGCTTAAAGATGTTGAAAACGAAAAGCAACAAGGGATGTAGAACGCATGACTCACTAAATTACAGGGCTATCTTTCGAAGAGCAAAACAAAACACAAAGCCCTCCCCACTGAAACTCGCCGGGGCTGAGGCTGTGCGCTCGTGGAGCTGGCGCAGCCACCCTATTGTTGTGGGATGGCAAAGGGCTCGGAGCCCTCATTGCACATTTCCTTCATGCCGTGTGCCAGAGAGCTCTCCGTGTAAATAAGCTACGTGTGAGCAGGCAGCTCCATGGCACTCATGGGAGGTGCTTTTCTCCCACCCGTGGGCATAGCTGTGAGTTTGGGATCCAGAGCGTCTTGCTTTGCTCAGCCATTGGTGTTTGGACTCTCGAGCAGATTTTGGGAGGTGTCATTGTATTTGTCCACAGCTCCAGTTTGTTTGGATAATGTGATGAAAAGGAGTT